CCTCTGACACCCTGAATTATCTTTTTTCCCAGCAACACTTTCCTTCCAAGGACTATTATTTCTTCCACATCTCCCAGCCAGCAAAAATTTGCATGAAGAACAGATATTTTGAGGAACAGATCCATTGGGTGCCCCTGTACTTCGAACGCGCGCTATCGCCATCTTGTGAACACTATAATGTTATTGAACACCCTCGCAATCCTTCTGTGTACTTTAGGTAACTTTCGAACTTTATCGTTGACTACTTAGGCTTGCGTCAATCTTCATATAAACTTACTACTGATTACCTCGAACGCGCGCTATAGCGAACACTTATTAAATGCCTTAAATGCCTCCTGTATCATAATTTCGTGTGACCAGCAAATCTAAAAAGGGTCTCTAGGTGTCGCTACGCCGTATACCAAATAAATCAATACCGAAGAAAAAAATAATAATTAAGTAAACATGAATACTTAGTAAAATAATTTTACCACGGTGATGAGAATTAAAAGCTTGCGTCGCGAGCGCTATCCATTTTGTGCGCGCAGGTTTCTGAGAAGATAAAAGAAACTGAGAGAGAAATAAATGATGGTTCACTCGATCGAAGCTTATTGTTCTGGTTTGCTTTCGAACCACAATGGGTTTATGCGGTTTTAATTCAATAGCTCCTCTTCTCGTTGCTATCGAATTTCGTGTTCGGTCATCGTCTCCTTCATTGTCTGCTCATCGTCAACGTTCGCTCCGAAACAAAATACAGTTCGCCTCGAAAGCAATGGAATTGTTATGACATGCATGTACAATATTTTAATATTAACTCCCAAAGGTTTAACTCCAGATTAAGCAGCTGGCAATCAGCATCGCGCCTTTGCCCTAAAAGTATCACTGCTCCTCTCAGTCTTCTTATTTCCTTGAAGGCACATGGACTCATGCCAAACAATGAAGTTGTAATAAGGGGGGAGGTCAGGGGGAGATTTTTGATAAACGCTGTCTGAAGTGTTTATTTGAATTTCTTAAAAAATGAACATCATTTTAAATTTATTGCGAAGTAGATATAACTCGGTTAAGTCAACAACCTGTATTTAATATTGTCTATCCAAGACTCTATATTTAACAATTCCTGACTTAAATTGTAAATAGCATCAAAATTGTAATGATTGTGTTAGCGCAAGTAATACTAATAATGTTGTAGTTTATGTAATGGATACTACATGATCCGATGTAATGGAAGTGCTTTGAATATAGTTCGTGCAAGCGAATGTGAATCTGAGTTTTAGATAACGACAACTGAACCAAATATCTTCTGCTATTTTTGAATTTGGCACCCCTGTTCTGGTTGCCTTCGCTCACCTTTATCTGGGAAACGCGCGAATAACTGGGAAAAACTGCCCTATTGCAATGGTGGCGAAAAAAACTGAACATGCTGTTTTTTCTTTATCCTCTCGGTTAGCCTAGAGATTCAAATTTTGAATACGCAGCGTCCACGTTGTCTGTACAAGCCTCAGTGATAGGCCGAATTACGCCCCCTTTTCAAAAAAGCGCACAACTTCGAATTCCCCACCCACCAAACTTAACACCACGCCTTGCCTTACCCCCTTCCCATTTTTGAAGGGGAAAGCCCTGGGACAAGGCTGAACCAATCGGAGAGCACAAAACTTACTTACAAGAGAATGTGTTGAAGGTTTCGTTTAATTGAAACAAAGACGAGTTTCAATTTGAGGCTGAAATGAAATAGAAGAAGGAAAGAAAGAATGAAATAACCGCCCCCTCCATTTAAATAAGCTTCCCGCTCCGCAGGATCAATTTGTGTGAAGTGTTACAAATTTTGTGATGAATTAATACAGTTTATCATTTAGGAGGTTTTAAAAGAAACCGGGGCTTAATAACTTTCTTCCTAGGGAAAGGGGGAGGGGTATTTTAAAAAAGATATCAAGGAAAACGATTCTCACAGCTGTATCAGACAAAGACGTAAATTTGTCATCGGACCATCAGTAAGTAAATGCTTTCATAACAACGTAACGTAATAACGTCATCACCTTTAGCACAAGCTATGAGAGCGTTTGCGAGGTAATTTTTTATGAAGTTTTTATGGTTAGAAATCTTTCAAAACTGAACGATCTGTATTATTGGCCGACATCTACAGAAAACGAGTGTTTTTAATGCAATTTCAGACCTCACTGTAGTTTCACTCAATTTCAGCACCAGCTGCGTAAAAACGAAATCAATGCAAAGCAGTCGATCATGATCATGATGATAGCTTTATAGCCGATTGCTAGAAGATAGCACTGTTAAGTTTGTCAAGGTTATAGTATAATAGAAATTCTAGATTTTTTTTATTTTTTCTGGTCACAGATTTAAGGGTTGATAACGCTATCCACGTGGATAAAACTCTATCCTGTGAATAACGGAACTAGCGTACCCCCTAATTTTCATCCACCGGATGGTGATTTATCCGCTGTGGATGACACTATTCTTTAATTTAACGTTTGATGAACAGAGCGCCAGCGTTTATTGCTTCTACTTGTTAAAACATAATAAGTTAACAATTTCGTGAAACGTTGGCAACCGAAGAAGATTGGAAAACCATAATCTGGAACAACAAAGAAATAAAAGTTCAGAACAAGCCGGTTTATTAATAAACATTATGCTAATGTGAGAGTCATTTGCATTCAAGATCTTTTATTTAGTCTGAACCTCAACTGTCTAAAAAATATGCTAAACAAAAATTTTACAATGGGCTGGTTTATGTAAGTCCCTACAATTATCACAAAGAAGTAATGACAGTAATCCCTTCATAAACTCACCAACATTAGTGGTAGGTGACAACATTTTTGATGTTACAAAGGGAAAATCAAAGGATTATGCAAGGTTCAATTTGACTTGTAACCATGCCTCCCCCGGGCACACCCCCTGGAATTTGCAATTTTTTTATTCCCCTCCCCCGGGCTCACAGAAAGAGACAATTTCCCACCCCAAAGCCTCTGATCGACCTCATATACGTTTTTTGGAACATCTTTTTTTCTTACAATAGCGCAAAGAGACGTTTTCACAATTTTTATAAAAGTTGTTGAGTTTATTCAGAGAAGGATAATGTCATAATATAGTTAAAACATGAACAATAAATTTTAAAACGAAAACGAAGAAGAAAAACTCTTAAAAGAGCGCTTTCTTTTTGGAACACTTCAAAAAACTACTGGATCGAATCATACTTCTCTCTATATATGTATTCGTTTTCGACCGTTTTCATATAAGTTTTCTTATCATAGTTTAAAGCCAGGCTGAAGAAATATTTCTGTCCTTCTCTTCCAAAAAATAAAATCCATGATTCGAGTACGCATCATACGCACAATTTTAAAATATACTTTTAAATACAGACTTTAATTTTGATAAGTTATTCCCCTCCACCCACTCTCCGACAAATTCCTTCGTTTTTCCTTCAAAATACGTAGTCTTGAGGTCGGCAGCCATAGTGTCATGTAAACTGCGCGAGAAATGGCACGTACTTCGCAAAGAGAAGATATTTTTTATTTGCCCCACCCCCCTGCCCCCGGAACAGGTCCGCTTCAAACAATTCCCCATCCCGGGGTGTAGGGACGGTAACAGGTCGAATTGAACCATACATTACTATCCGCTTCTTATCAGAGAAAGAGCTGAACCGCCCAATATTATTCAAAAGTTAAAGAGCAACTTTAAGTTTCAAAGACAGCGACCATCTATCGTTGTCGAATCGTATGTTGCAGCCTTCCAGTACAAAGTAATCAACTCAATTCTTTCGCAAACATAAAGTTGTGTAAAATAGGTTTTAGAACAAATGATTTACTGGATTTATGTACTTTCATTGATAATCAACCCTTATCACTGCTTATCATTATTTCCCATTTGTTTTGTCACTGCTCACAATCTAAACATGCAGTTTTGGATTGAACTTGAATTATATTGATGCCTTATTCCGAATCAACGAATTCGTCTAGCCCCCCTGCTTAGAAAATGTGTTTTTTGGAATTTTGACGGAAAATGCTTGCCCTTTACTTCAATCGCTGAACAATTTTATAATTATTGGAGAACTTTATTTGTGGGACTGTAGGTGCAAATAAATCCTTCCAAACATCGCGAAATATGAAACAGAAAAAAAATCATCAGCAACAAAGATTTCTTTAAAAGAAAATGGATACAGACACCTCATTTAAGTTAACTGTCTTAAATCAGTATTACTGTATTGCCCTATTGTACTTTTTTAATTTCTTTTAGCGCTGAGGTTTACGTCTTGAAAAGATTGTGAAGATGTCATGAAGCGCCAAAAGACAGTGTTAATATAAGGCTTATCGATCCTAACTAGCTATAGATATAAGACATATTGGAGGCAACGGACACAATGCACGTGAGTTTTACAATTTGGTACACTACTACTGTTTTGCAAAAATAATTTTACAACAAACGATAACATTTATTCTTATAATACTCGATTTCATCAATACATATTAATTGTAGCAAAACAAACTGTGGAAAATTTTCTCTTAAATATCGAGGAACAGAAGTATGAAATAATTTACCAGCTGATTTAGTTAAAGAAATCAAATTCATATAGAAAATTTAAAAAGTCGTTAAAAGCAAATATCCACCATGAATTATTTTTAAATGGACCTTAAAAACGGAATACATAGTGTACGTGTATAACATTAGGTACCATATATTGTTATATATTATGATTTAAATCACATTGCAATCTATCTTGACGCCTAACTTGAAATAAAATTATTATTAGAGACACAGAGAGGGAGATCCTACTTGTAAAAGCTCAAAAGATGTTAAATAAGATCTCCCTGCCAAGAAATGTTAACGTTAATTATGATAAAGACTCCCTTCAATAAAAGTAGTTAGGGAGGAGAGGGGAGGGATCGGCTGTACACAGAGAGGTTTTCACTCACACCCGACTGTTGTCGTTGTCATTTTAAGCTGCCAGGGCTTCTCATTGGTGCTGCAATAATTCATTTAAATCGCTGTGATATGCAATTGTTACCATCAAGTTACAATCCGCTGACCATGCACACTAAGATATCGTCTTTTTGCAGTACACGTGACCTCTGATCTCGCCGTTCATTCCATGTACCTGACGATCGAGGCGATTTTGAGGGCAGAGGACTAGAATAACTTTTATAAGTGGATAACGTGGTTCGAAAAGTCTTTCTGTTCACAACACGTCTGCCTCCGAAACGAAAGCTATCATCGTTGGACTTAGCAGAGCACAACATCCTCACGTATGCATTCCTAAATTCCGGAAAGTTTTGTCCGTACAGTATAGGATTGAAGAGCGAATTACTGTATTGGAGCAGTTTAACTGCAAATACTGAATGCGCGGGTAAAACAGCCAGGTTCCCGCTTGCAAACTGCACTAAACCCAACGTAAAGAACGGGAGCCAGCCAATCAAAAACAGGCCTATCATGATGGCGATGGTCTTGGCCGCTCTGATGTCTCTTCTGAGCTTCGTATTTTGGTGAAGTTTGGACGTTTTGCGTTTAATTGTGAACAGAGTTATTCCTTGGGCCACGAAGATCAAGCTGAGTGGCAGGAAGAAGCAGAGGCAAATCACAGACATGTTGTATAACCGCTTGGTAATTTTGTTTCCAGGTACAGAGAGGCCCGAGACGAGAGTAGCGCTAAACCATGTTAGGAAGATGATCACTGAATATTTCCTTTTTGAGTAGGAACGATGCCTGAGCGGCCTGACAATAGCACACAGTCTGTCCCAACTCAGTGCCATAAGATGTAAGATGGAACCCACCCCTCCGAGTATCTCGAAGACGTACCATGCTTCTATGACAGTTTTGTACCACGCAGAGTCACGCTCCTGTTCTTTGTGGACAAGTACAAGCCAGCCAGGTACAGATACAAGACCCACGAGCAAGTCCGCCAATGCAAGACTTGTTATGAGATAGTTTGTACGCGTGCGCAAGTTGGCGTTTTTGACGAAGGAAGCGATGACAAGTGCGTTTGCAAATATAATGGCCAAAGCAATTAAGCTGTGAAGTAGTGTCCAGATTATGAGAGGACCTACCCCAATTGATTGGTAATAGAGTGAGCTGTCAGTTCCATTCTTCGTGATACCTGGTAAGATTAAAATTAGTAAACCTTTAATAAACCGTCGCTTATAAGTCCGGCACTAATAAGCACCGCTCCCCTAGTTATAGGCCCATCGACCTGTAATTAAAGCAAGCGTTTCCGTGCGGTTTCGGAGCAGAGAACGAGGAACGAGAGACCAAGACCGCGCAAAGTCCATTTTTCGCGCGGTCAAAACCAAAAATCCCGCTCCTCGGTCTTTCTTTGCTCCGAAACCAAACGGAAACGCTTGCTACGCAGGCTACAGTGAATACTAATCGTATTTTGATGAGAACTGCTACGGCTTTCTTCGAAGTGCTTTTTCTATTTCTGTTATAAGCCCCCTTGGATATAAGCCCCTCTGTTTATAAGCCTTCCTAAACCCCTTACGAAGATGTATAAGTCCAGGACTTGTAAGCGGCAGTTTACGGTATTTGGTAGAAAACCTAGTTGCTCGCTTCATACCACATTTCAGCATCACAGAGGCTGCTTAGTTTACGCATAAACTAAGTATCCTTCATGATTTTTGTCATTAAATAATCTGCTTTATTAAAAACTGAATCATCCATTGGCTTAGCCATTTAAGCAATAGACCACACTTTCTACGGGTTTACCGGCGTGATAACCCACGCGGGATGTTGGGAGAACACGAGAAAAGCTTGTAAATCACGAGCCGAAGGCGAGTGATTTACAAGCTTTTCGAGTGTTCTCCCAACATCCCAAGTGGGTTATCACGCCGGTAAACCCATAGAAAGTGTGATCTATTGCTTTTATAAAATAACTTTTAGTAGAACTGAGCCTTTTAGGTAAAAAATGTGGTTTTAGTACCGTGATCAAGCCATGTCTTCTCTCTAAAGTCACCATAAGCCAATCATGACTCACGATTTAAAAGCGCCGAACTTTCTCAAAACTCAGTTCAGTCAAACCTGAGTCAAACAACAAACAGCAGGCCTTCAAAACAAGAGTTTTTGCACTCATTACATGATAACTTATGAAAGCTGTTTTTCAGGAAAAGTCAACACATATTCATGCGAAGGTACAATGAAGTTTGTTCACTACAGAAGTAGAAAATTGAACATCAAACTGTACGCAGCTGTATTTTGTTGAGTCGATCCGTAAACATTTCGTGCTTACAGACGAAACTGACAGCTGTTGTAATGGAGGACTTCATTCACTTTTTAAAAGCTGCAGTGGTTTAAGATGTGTTTTCTGCACTTTATCGTGATCAAGAAATGTTGCGGTAACGACGTAGCTGCATTTGCGAAGTTGTCGCATGTAACGTATGTATGTAGAGCGACGGATGGAAATATGTCAGTGGTAGCTCTGAATTTGGAGAAAGGTTTCTTTGCCGTAGCCACATATTAGCGTTAATATTTGTCGATTTGTAAAGTCAGGTGGTTTGAAGTAGGTTATGGCATCCATATCACCGAATAATTTGTGCAAATGTTGGAAAAAAACCAGCGCGACACTCTGACATCTTTCATCATCGTTTACAGCTTGTTTACAATCTGCAGCGGCCGTTCAGCGGCCGATTTTGTACCATAACTTGGTCAGATATCTCTTAATTTCGGAATAATTTTTTTCATTGGGGAATTTAATTTTGACGTAAAATAAATCACGAATGCTAAAACTATCCGTTTTGTTGCTGGTTGGCACATGGTTAAGCTTTCCTAAAGACCTTCTACACCAGAAATTCACACAGTTGTTGTCTTTCTCTGCAATTTGGCATCGTTGTGAAATATAAACTGCTTTCCAGCTTTGTACTTTATAACTTTTAAAGCTATGGCAGTAGCAAATTGTGGTGCTCTGTAATAAAATGTGGAAAACAACACTTTTTAATATTAAGAAGGGCTGGGTAAGAAACTTTTTCTATTTTTTATTCTTTTTAAAATCGTTGTTTGCAGATCAATAGCCCGTTTTGTATATGGCTCGTGTTCCGGGTGCTTTTTTCTATGGGTTTACCGGTATAATAAACCATAGGTTTTTGACCAATCAGATCGCGCGTACTATCTTAGTTATTTTATAACATTGCATATAACATAACTTATTATATACATACTGAGAAATACTCACCAAAAAGCTATGTCGTAAATTTTCGTACGCAAATTAGTTATAGCCAATCAGAGGAGCGAACGATGGTTTTCACACGTGAAAAAAACGATACGTCCAATCAGAATCGCGAACGATGTTTTTTCACGTGTGAGAAAAATGATACGTCCAATCAGAAGCCACAGAGGTGTAGGAGTTTCGCGCCAAAATTCCCGCCCTTTATTGCAGCTTGCAGCGCCGCTTCGCACACATTTATCAACGAGAAAAGTTTTACTCAAGGAGTTTTTCTCGCTAAAAAAGTGAAAAACATTTCGGAAATGGAGTGGAATAGTTTCGTTTGTTTCACTGTCGATAAAAAAATACGGTAGAGAGCCGGTGAAACAACAGCGGAAAGGGATTAACAGAACGAGACGTAAGCTTTTGTTGTGCTTTTTGTCGGAGCTACTTTGCCTTTCATTTAAGCTTAAGCTTATATTGAAACCGGCCATTTTACTTAAATTCACTCATTTTCAATTGTGTATTGAAAACAAACAGTTAAGATTACTTATAGTTCTTGGATTAAACCTCATATCCTCACCGTCATTTATGTTTTTAACAAACGTTTTTACTAAAAAGCTGATACTTCGTTTTCGTTGTCATTTTGCGGTAAGTGTGTAGCGGCAAATTTTAGCATTTTTGAAAGATTTAAAATAAAAAGGCCCGCAAAATGATGAATGACTCAGTATGTATATAATAAACACAATACCACATGGAAAGTGCTTTGTACGGTATTTACGCACTCGTTGTTTTTGTATCAGAAATCTTACTCGTTCGCTGCGCTCACTCGTTCGATTTCTGATACGTCAACAACTCGTGCGTAAATACCGTACGCCAGCACTTTCCATGAAGTATTCTCTATATAAACTCGCTTTATTTATAGTCGAATTTTAGAGTAGCTAACAAGCTAATATCTTCGAGCTGACACTACTTGAAAATAATATAGAAATATATATATATATACATTAAATGCATTATAAGTTATAATAATAAAATAATATTAATAATAATAAGCACATAAAAAATATATATATTATTTACAATTCACAGTTTTAAGTTTAAGTATGTCAGGCAAAAAGAATCTATATGAAGGTAACATCCTGTATTTTGGTCTTAAAGTCTGCGAAAAAACTGGTACTAAAAAAGTCCAGCAGTGCATTCCACTGCTTAGCTGAAAAGTAAGAAAAGGAGTTAAGACCATAGGTAGTTGTTTTAGGTTTACTTAGTATAGTGAAAGAATGTAGTTGCCACGAAGATCATAGAAAGAGGACCGGAGTCAAAACACATTCTCCATATAAGTAGGAAAATGAGTGAAAAACAAACTCTTATATAACAGAATGAGGAAATTTTGAATGCGTTTGTTACACAACGAAGTAGAGCTGACTTTTGAGAGAAGAGTGTTGTATGGAGACGAGTAATCTCCAAGTATAAATCTAAGTATTCTTTTATTTAAAGCTTCAAGCTTATCCGCATCGCGCGCTCCACAAAAGTGCCAGACAGAGGAGCAATAATAAAAATGAGGTAAAATATACGCTTTGTAAAGTTTGAATAAGATTTCCCTGCGTATGAGTTTTCGAAAGCGCAACATAACATTAAATTGATTATTAATCTTTTTGCATACATTTGATATATGTTTAGAAAAATTCAGTTCATTATCTATTTCCATTCCAAAAATCTCCTTTACTGGGAAGAAAAAACCATACTCCGTACCACCGAGGATTAGACACTGGTGCTTGCTTTCATTAACTAACATCCCATTTTCATTGTACCACTGATTGGCCACGCCAACATCATGAGATACGCATGTATTCAGAGCTGCCGGATATGAGCCATTATACCATGCTCAATATTATAAAAACAGGCTGAAAATCAGTTGTTTTTACAAATAAAATTGGGACGAATTCTCGATTTCTCCTCCCAACTTCTGATATGATATGAGACACTTTGTCTTGTGTTACATGAGCCACTTGTCTCAGCGTTCTACCTGCGCCTTCACCCATATGCACATAATACTTAACAATTATTCTACTCGCGCTTATTGGATATGAGATAATTATAGCCAACTCGGCGCTACGCGCCTCATTGGTTAACTACCATCTCATATCCAACGCGCACTCGTGGAATAATTGTTAAGTATTATATGCATATGGATGGTGGCGCAGGTAGAACGCTGAAACAAGTGGCTCATGTAACACAAGACAAAGTGTCTCATCTCATATCCAGATTTCAAGAAGTTGGGAGGCGCACAGTTGTCTGAGGTTGAAGAACTTCGATAGCCAAAACTTTCTTCTCTTAATTGTTAACAAGATTAGGAATCCACTGTTTATGACTGTCTATGTCTGCCCAGGTAGACATTCTTCATTTTTCTATACGTTGTCCTCTGTTTTTATTGGAATATTTGTACTTCTTTCCTACTTGCCTGTCAAAAGGATGACGCAGATGAAAAACTAATATATATCTTCTTTTGCTCCTTAACTTACGGAACAAAAAAATGAAAACCTTTTAGTTATGTAGCAGCTGCCCAAGCTAAGTTAAGGTTTAATTAGAGCTCGTTTATTATGGAACTTATAATGTACTTTGATATTCGGATAAGAACGACGTTGAGTCATTATTTTCACAAAAATGCGCACAAAAAGGAAACTTTTATAGAAGTAAACTGATTATCGCAGGCGTTCGACCGAGTGAAAGATAAATTGGCCAAGGTGATAATTCACCTTTTGAGCTGTATGTATGGGCCAAGCAGTTATTTAAAAGGAGTTCCTAGTAGCCCATGTTTAAAAACCGCTTTTTATTAATACCACTTTCAGTTTGCCCACGCTTTTATCTATAAACACCATTTAAAATCGTGAACAATTTTAATAAACCATTATAGCCTAGGCTGGAAAAGCGCTTACTTTTTTTTTTTAACTAACCCACTAAGAAAGAAATCTAGAGGTCCAATTATTTCTTAAACCGTGGCCTAAGTTAGATTTCGTTTAAATAACCGACGTTATGAATTTATCATGCAGTATTTTCTTTTTCATATGTCACTTAAAGACATTTAAAAGGACACCTATCTTATTCAGGATTTTTCATTTGAATAACAAATATTATCTCAAAGGTTCGAGTAATCTAGTACGTATTATCATATCTACTTATTGATATATTAATGCTAATTTCTTGTGTTTAGTGGCGTTCTGTTCAGCTCAGTTAATCTAACTACGTAAAAAATCAGTTCTGTATTAGATAACAGCATTATTCTGACCAATCCCAGGAAAAGAGCAACTCAAATTTCTAGGCTAAACATACAGTCTATCCATGCGAATGCTATTGAAACTCAATGATAATTTTTGTCTGGTAAAGTTATTATAAATTTGTTCGTATTGTTTTTGACTTTATGGCTCTTTTCTTATTGTCTTTTACCTGTAAACTTCATTACATCATGCTCGCTACACAATACAGATAACTAACAAATGAGGAGTATATTTCACGCGATAAATCCGTGACAGTATTTGATCGACACTAGCCTTCAACCAACTTCAGACTTCATTTAATGCTATGACCTACCAGAGAAAGTTGTCTGATTGTCCATGGCTCCTTTACCGGTCTCGCAGTAGAGTCTTTGATACTGAATATTTCTTTCTGAAAATAGTAGAACAATATTGCTATCATAACCAAAGCGTTGCTCGTACTAACTTACACTTGAAATTTATATGATTTTGCTGGGCCGGACCAGATTTAAATAGATAGGGTCGTCGCTCCAATGTTGTTATGTCCACCATTCTCTCAACTCAGAGGAGACAGAGGTCCTCTAACTTCACGTCTAAAATAGGGATAACTGTGAGCTATTATAACATGAAACTATGAAAAAAGTGAGAGAAAGGTAAATGTGCATGAACGCATGAACTAAATATATTTTAAATAAAAATCTCGCTTAAAATTGTTTGTTACCATCACGACTATATAAAATTGCTGATGCAACTAGCTAAAAAGATTATCTGTGGGAAGGCAAAACTTATCAACGTGAAACGTTTAAACGAAAGATACAATTAAAGAAAAGGGAGTTTACAAACCTAACTTTGAAAAACCATACTAGCGAAGACAGAATTCTGTGCGGCTTTGTTGCGATCTGTTAACGTTTCTAATCTTCAGTGGCGATAGCACCGTGAATGCGTTGTGGGGCTTATCGTCTTTTGTTTTGTTGTTTTGTAAGCAGATAATTAGTACTTCGCTCATTAGCAAAGTCAAATTTTCTTTTCCGCTGTACAGCTTTGAGTTTGGCGCAAAATGCCGCTGTTACTTGAGAAGGAACGGTACTAATTGAGATCGTCCGAAGGCGCGGGTACAAGAGCGATGTACATGTCTTGTAAAGCACTCTCACATCGATCCGTGAATCAGACTTCCCCATAAAACAACTTTTAACTGTTTTTTATGGAGGCAAAGCCTTACACAAGTCAAGAGAGATGAAATCCACTTGAAGAGATGTTACAAAACAAATGGAACAAACACATCAGCTTAGAAGACGGAAGACCTCTGCTTTCAAATTATCGCGAAAAACAATTTAATGACAAGTAAGGCAGTCTCTGAGGAAGTACGCTTTTAATTTACTGATACGTCCTTTTAATGTTTACAGTCTTCAGTTATGTCATTTTCTGTCTTAATAACTTAGAAATTTCGGCAGCGTGGTTATTGTTCCAGTTACAAAGTTAGAAATAAAACTGAATAAAAAAAGTTAAACAGCAAATATTCATGATTCCCATTTAAACTTTTACTGAGATTCTCGATTCAAAATCCAAAATAATCCAAAGTAGGACAATTTCACCGTCAAAGTTTTTCTTTCCTGTTTTTAATGATCCGAATCTTGATTCAATCGAATATTTCCTGTTCAATTAACAATGTATTTTTTCCTTTTTGGAGACGAAATTGATAAGCAGGACCAGAAGCATATATAACCCTGTCACGGGTCAGCTTATGCTGACTTTCAAGCGTTTGCACAGAGATAAAAGCGCCGAGTCCCTTTTCTCCCAGCCTTACTGATTATAGATAGTTGCCGAGAGTCGAAAAATATGTATGACGAACGAAAGGATTTGAATATACTCCTATCAAAGGGATTGAACCGCAATAAGGTTGATTTGACATTTCTTCCGATTTGTGCCAAATAAGTTTCATGCTAATTGCCAAACGCATTGGTAAGCGAGATGTTATGTTCAATTCGTTTATTTTAAGGAAGTAATTTTGTTTTAAAAATATTAAAGACAACAATGAAACGGGAAAAACCCAGGGAGCATTACTCAACACGTGAAAACCAGCAATTTGGAGGCACTAAAATTAAAATGCATTACTCACAATTATTCATGTTAGGAAAGGATCTTTATTAATTTTATGTGCTTGTACTTCGCGAATGGAAAAAGAGCGACACAGACAGATTTATGAGGCATAAAAGCATCACCACTCATGAATCTAGCCTGTTCCAGGCGTTCCGATAGTGGGGAGCGGTGCGAATGAGTAAAGAGGAGCGCGAAAAAAATAAAATCCAGTCCCCCTCTACTTTTTATCGCTTTCTTTACTTTGCACCGCTCTCCACTATCTGAACGCTTGGAACAGGCTATCATGAATCAAACCTGTCTTGCAAAACTGATTAGGCTGTTGAAGTTTTCGAAAAATTGTTGCAAAAAGCAGAGGGGAGTTCTACTCTTTGAAACAAAATCTGTACATGCATGTTGCGCGTTTTACCGGCCATAGCCTGAGCGCAGACACTTTAAACCTTGTTTATAGCGTCTGCGAATTAGTGCACAATATCGTGTTCGAATCCCACAGAGTCGCAAGGACATAAGAAAGACGTAAGACTTGAGATCTATAAAGCATTTCAGGATCCCTTGACCTGTCTTAATCTACATATTATGATAGTTTAGATTAGCTAGAATCTTTCGATTTTGTAAAATTTACTGAGAATATAGGACTGCCGGCCATTTAGTGTTTTGAAAACCTTGACCGGTTACCGGCCATATAGCCACTGCCGCACTCCGAAACCTTTATATGGAGACAGCTGTAGAGAGAAAACCGTTCACGTAAAAATCCATAAAACGGCCATAAATCGGTCTATAGACCACACAGGAGAGACGTAACACACATTTTAAATAAGGTAAGCTGTTTTATATTGAAATCCTTTCATTTTCGTAGGTTACAGAAACGATAGGTTTCTTCCCATACAAATTAGCCTGCGTGGCAGGCTATTGAAATCCTTTCATTTTCCTAGGTTATAGTAACGATAGGTTTTTTCCTCAAACAAATTCTTATATTTAGAATGTTACCCAACAAAGCTGATGCTCGCCGATGCTCATATTTCGAGCTTGGGCTACCTGTGGTTTTGTAAACAATAAAATACAGTGAAACCTGTATTAAGTGGACACCGTATTAAGCGGACACCCTCTATTAAGCGGACAGTAGCCGAAGTCCCCAAATTTATTTCCCTTATTTACTTTACATAAAACCTTTATTAAGCGGTCATCTGTATTAAGCGGACGCGGACAGCTAAAAAGTACCTGAAATGGTCATTTCTATTGTTGACCACCTGTATTAAGCGGACACTTGTAATTAAATTCCACCACCCAACATGCCAGACGCTGGAAATGCGAAAGATTACCACCCACAAATATTTCGATTTTTACATTAAAAAAAGTGATTCAACGAACTTATTTGATTAGCTTCACAGTACAGTCCGGGGGGGGGTACTCCCGCGAATTTTGGGTAGGGGTGTGCCGCGAAGGTTCGTTAACCCTAACCCTATTTAAGGACTAAGAAAGCGAATACTAATACCCTTTTTAAAAAGAAAAACGATGTATCTAAAACACCTAAGAGGGATTTTTTACTAGTCTGCTACACAGCCGTTTTTTGTGTCGTTACGCAACGCTGGTGGGGAGGAGCGTTGCGTGACGTGACGACACTAAAAACGGCTGTGTAGCAGACTAATTTTTTACATGCCTTCTTTGAGACCACCCACAATATTAACGACCAATCGGTGAAAGAATAACGAGGCTGCTGACATTGTTGCAAGTTTGCTGGACTTCCTCTTACAAAACACCGGAAAAGTAATAATAGGGAGCTTTAGCATCGACGACCGCGGCGGCAAAGAAAACGTCACTTTAAAAATGAAAACTCAAAATTGTGGCGTTTATTCCAATTCACTGAAAATGTCAAATTTAGGGGGATTTCCCTCGAGATGATTTCTTGGGGACCGCACTTAAGTTTAGAAAGAGAAAGAAAAATTCGTCGTTGCTTGTTCACGTCAGTCCATAAAGAGTAAAATTAGGCATTTTCACGTCGTAGTCGTGCAATGAAGGCAAAGAAATTTGCTGAAGCTCCCTAATGTCTTGCACGACGCACGCCGGCGAAGTTGTGTTATGCAAACTCTGTTTGTATTGCAATTTTACCACCGGAATGAAAAAATATTAAAAAAAAAAAATCGATCGTTTAATTACATGCCACGGGTTTAAAAATGGCCTTAAAGGTGAGCAGTGTAGTCAAACAGGTGATGTAATTTTCTCGAGTTTAATACCGCTGGCTGTATACACTCTTTTCGGATCCGTAGTAAAGAAACCCTTTGGATCATGCATGTATCCCGAGTATCCGGTTTTAGATAAGAGATACAAAGACTACAAAGAATTCAGCTTTGACATGATCATGAATCATTATTGGATCAACATTCCGTTTTCGGATTAAAGTAAATAAATGAAATATCCGTTTTCGGCCGCTAAAAATCTGAATTTGGGATTTTGTAAAAAGAAACGAATCCTAGATGTTCTTTAATATTCATTTTCCTCCCGGTTTTGTCAGCATCTTAATTGATGCGACTTCGTCATACCTCTGCCCGTCTATCTGAACACCATCCAATAGCCTGTCACTAAAACCCCACATCTGCCTTTGTTATTCTGTGTTTAGATTCAAGATCTGCAATATACAAAGCTGGTCAAAAATCATTGTGAAATCGACTGAACATTACGATGTGATATGTGGCCTTGACTGAGACCTGGCTGTACCTTGCATGCTGTTGTATAGCGGTGGTGATCTAGCGTGGTAGTAACTTATTCCTCACCCCAAGAAAATTCCAAACAGAAATATAGCATGAGATATGGAGGGGTGAAAATTCTCCAAAATAAAAGGTTAACAGGGAATAACTGGGGTTGTTAAATTGCTTTTTTTAAAATGTGCCAGGGAGACTATGCTTTATCCATGCTAAGACTTCATCGCTTTGTTATTTGTTATTGCATATCTCCTCCGAGTCTGCTGTGGAGGACGTCTTAGGCCGCTGACCAACTTGTTGCTGTTCTTGCCGGACTGGTGGCGAATTGCTCCCAGATCTCAGGAAACTAATAAGGTCTAATAAGACTGGCCAGCAACGAACACATCCTGATTACAAAAGGAAATTTTGCGAAATCTGGCAGAAACATTTCAGCACAGATATCCCAAACAGTTGAAAACAGCGGTCATGTCAAAACCAGGAGATGTCGACATTCCTGCGTCAATGCGGCCACATATCCACGGTTATCCCGGCCCCTCAACAACCCTCGTGCACGAAACTTGAATGCATGGCGTCAGTGGATCAAAAGTATGTAGGGGTCTAAGAGGAATCACCCTTCGCTTCCTTCACAAAATAAACATAAAAACAGAGGCTGAAGTGGAGAAACCAAGGATACAGAGGCCACAAGAAAAGGAGGAATTACCGTCGGCTTGTCCCAGATAAACCGGGAGGAGAGTTTTACCCCTGTTTCAAGCTACATTCAACCTAAACTTAAAACTACGTTAAACCTAAACTAAGTCAACCTAAACTAATTCAACTAACACGAAAACAGCTTTTTCCATGAGCTCCAAAAAAAAGCTCAAAGAGCAATAATAAACCGACATAACAAGAGAAACATTGCGTGTGCATCACTGGGCGCTCTTGCCTACGCTCAAATTAGCCTGACCCCGTAAGAGAAGAAAACTAAAACACCACTAATAAACACCAATTATAGGTGCAAAGATCAAGGGAGAAAAATTGCGAGCAAAACCTCGAGCGGCCACATCATGTTATTAAATCAGTTAATGCTTTAGATAATTACCCACTAAGTCCTAGTTGCAAAGATTGAGGTATGTTGCAGATAAAATATAGCACATTTGGGAGCAAGGGTGGCGCATTGGTGAGAGCACTCGATTTCCAACAATCAGAACAATGTAGCCCAGGTTCATATCCCGGCGTCGACGCGACGGCATATGTGGTTTAATTTGAGTTTGTTGTTGGTTCTCTCCCTCAGTGGCACCGAGAGGTTTTTCTTCGTCCAGAAATTAGGTAGACCGGAAGAACTACTTAGTGGATGTGCTACC